AATAAAAGTAATTTTTGTGGTTAGAACAGAGACAGAGAAATGTGTTGAAAAATGTGAGTTGTAAATAAATAACTATACAACCTTTTGAAGACATCTGAAGACAGCCCTGTACAGGAAAGTTTTCAATGTTTGATGTTTCATTATGTTTTTGGATATTCTGGAAGACGCTCAGGGTGGCTTGGGCAACCCAGTCAGATAGGCTACTACTACTACTACTACTACTACTAACCAAGCAAATAAGGATGAATGCTTACTGTCATGTAATCTCCCTTCAAACAAATCAGAACAGATATTCAATAAATAGGTTGTCTGGAAATTTCTACTGAATTTCTCCTGGTGTGACTCTTGTATTTCATGCTTAACCAAAGCACCCAAGAATATGCAAGGGTATTTTAAAATAATTTTTATTTGGGAATATTATTTTTTGGGGGGGGACTTTTGCATGTATATATTGAAGTGCTTCTAAGCAAAAAATCTAAAGCTTTATTGAGGCAAAACCTCTGAAAACTTTCAAGGGCAACTTAAGGCTGTTTCCAGTGGTAGTGAGGAGTTGTAGGAAAAGACCAGGAGGCAGTGGAAGGATTAAGGACTTGTCCCAAAGTAAGAAGATAAGAAGAGCCTGCTGGATCTGACCAATGGCCCATCTAGTCCAGCATCATGTTCTCATGGAGACCAACCCATTGCTTGTGGGTAAATTTGCAAGCAGGACCTCAGCAAGTGCTGTAAATTGTACCTTCCTAGTTCTGATTTGCACAGGAAAAGCAGTGCCTGGTCTTAAAAGGCACAAGGCTGTGATGAAATATATATTTTCAATATGAATAATTCTGATGAGCTTAGTGGAATTCCTCAGCTGTCATTGAAGCTCTTAACATTCCTAGATAAAAGGGCCTTTTATTAGGAATAAAGAAGACCAATATGATCCCACATTGACCTGTTTGGTCACTCACTGCTTTCATTCCTACCAGGCATTAGAGGTGGTTACACTGAAAAAACAAAGGGTTGATCTAGGCGAAGTTAGTCATGCTTAGTAGCTAGTCACGAGAAGCTCAAGCTCCATTGTTTTCAAGTGGCCTAAAGCATGACTTTAGGCCCAAAACCAGGGTTTCCCCAAATTTGGGTCTCCAGCTGTTTTTGGACTACAACTCCCATCATCTGTAGCTAGCAGGACCAGTGGTCTGGGATGATGGGATTTGTAGTCCAAAAACCCTGTGTTACACTGTCATTGTGGTGATCAGAGGTGCCATTTTCTCAAGTTGATCGAGGGGGCCTGATGGACATCCTGACATTGCTTGCGTGACATTGTGAGGAGCCAGGGGGTGCTGCTGAATGCCCTCTGAACCTTGAGGGGGACTAGCCCCCTCAAAAAGAAATCAGGGGGATCAAAACTCCCTCGGCCCCTAGGAGCTGGCACTTATGGCGCTGATACTACCATCAAATCACGAGCCCATATTGAAACACAGGATTGTATGCTCGTCAACACCTATCTTAATGCAAGTGACGTATATCCAATAGTCTACAACTATAATCATATCTAGGCATTGATATTACCCCACACGGTTATAATATCTCATTGGGTCTAGGATACTCTGCACTGCAAAGTTACAATGTCCTCAAGGAGGGGCTGATGGAGCACAACACTATATCTAGCCTTGGGGTACCACAGGGCAACTATGCAAAAAATGTATGTTTTAGTGTGCCACGGTTTTCAAAACAGTGGGACACTAACGAACAAACTTTGTCTTTTTTTGCTGGAAGCTTAGAGAGCATCATAACTCTTTAGTATGAAGTGGGGACCAAATAAAGCAAAGCAAGACCAAATGCAAGGCAGGCAAGTGTGGGAAGATGATTTAACCTGAACCTGACCTGCTGACATTTTTGGAGCACGAAAAATTAGTAGAGTGCTGACTTGTGCTCAAGGTGATCCTCTATGGGAGAAGCAAGGAATACAAATGGCAAAGTTGCAAGAAGAGGAAAACTAAAAAGGAAGGCTGATCAAAACAGGAATAAAAAGGATTCTGACAGGGAGAGAAAGAAAATCCATGATTTCTTTCATCGCTCCTTCCAGACCAGTGGAGGTTCAGTCCAAGGGATTGACTTACTTGCTAGAGACCTTTGACTTTTAGTACTTAAAAGGCATTTCCAATGCCCATCTTTGCCAAAAATAAAACTAACTATATTCTCTTTCAGTATTGCCATAATATTTCTTTGCCTTTAGCTTGTCTACATATTTGGCTTTTAAATGAAAAAAAAAAAGGAGAAAATTATTTTTGGGTGTTCTTTTCTTTAACTTGGTTTTGGGGATCCTTTTCTCAAATCAGCATTAAAAATGTAAAAAGCATTTATATTGCATGTACAATACATAATCCTAACTTGGCAGGTATTCCCATTTCTTCATATCATCTATGCATATTTGTGTCATAATTATTTGATTTCTTGGGTTAGGGTTTCTTGAATACCTTAGCTGGAAGTGTCTGAGCAGTGGCTAGATTGCCATTGCTCAAGGATGCCACAGTTACAAGATTCCTGCATGGGACTAGGTGTCCTCCAACATCTCTTTCAACTCTAAAATCTTATGATTCCATGAATGAAGGCACCCTGGACTTTTTTTTAGTAGGCGAACAGCTTACTTGGTTGTATGAGAGATAGCATTGCTACTAAGGCCAGCATTGGCATTCTGTGTTCTTCCTTATAGCCACAGCTAGATACTAGTCTGAAAGCCACTGGCTCTCCCTAACCAGATATTACTGTGGACGTAGAATTAATGTGCTTTGGGGCGGGGCATTCATTTGAATGTCTGGACAAAATCCCAATAAGTTTGGCTACACACACAAAGAATTTGTTCAGACATTATAATGAAGGTGTCCTAGGGGTCCTTGTGCTTTCATTGGGGTCTTTGTGTCTGGGGGCTCTTTGTGCATGGCAGATCTGCTGCCATGCCACCCCCCAGCCCCAGTGCATTCATTCTTCAGGCACAGCTATGTCCAGAAAGGAGCTTGTGCAACACACATTTTAGAACGCAAGAGGTATAGTCTCTTCATATAGCCTTACAGCAAAAGAAAGAACTCAGAAATAAATAGCAAGAACAAAGACAGAAAGAACAAAGCAGGAGAGGATTATATACCTAAGCACGTCAGCAGTAACACATATCAAGGCTGAGACTTTCAAAAGAAAACACAGACTGGAGAGTTTTAACGTCCCCATTCCATACGCTCACGGACACTCTCATTCTGCCTGCCATAGAATATCCATAGTTATGCCAGGACAGTTGAAGACCCAGGCTTGGAACAAACTAGTTCAGCTGAAAAAAGTTTACTAAACTAGTTAAGGCAAATTCTGAACTATGCCTGAAAGTAGGTTCCATAATTGCTAGGTGAACTAAAGGTGAATTAAGTTCATTTTGTGGTAGATTTCTAGTTCATCTTCATGTTCATTCCCAGCAGACAGCTTGGACTCTTCACTTTTATTTTCATTTTTTAAATATAATGTAATATTTATTATTATTATTATTATTATTATTATTATTATTATTATTAAACTTTTGATACCGGCCTTCATCCAAGGATTACAGGGAAGCTTACAATATGAAAACACAAAAGTGCAAAACACAGTAACAAACAAAAACAATGTCCCTCCACAGTTTAAAAGGCCATAGATTGTTTAATCAGCCAAGCCTGGAAGAACAGGAATGTTCTTGCCTAGTGCCTAAAGATACGTAATGAAGGCACCAGGCAAGCCTCTCTGGGGAGAACATTCCATAAGAGGGGAGCCACCACAGCAAGGGCCCGGTCTTATGTTGCTGCCCTCTTGAACTCTTGCAGAGAAGGCACATGAAGAAGAGCCTCAGATGATGGTTGCAGGGTCCAGACTGCTTCAAATGGGGAGAGGCAGTCCTTGAGGTATTGCGGTCCTGAGCCATTTAAGGCTTTATAGGTCAAAACCAGCACTTTGAATCGGTCCCAGAAACTAATTGGCAGCTAGTACAGCCTGCCTGTGATTGGCTTTATATGCTCACACTGTCTTGCCCCAGTGAGCAACCTCATGTAGAGATATCCTAGCTTCCATATCATAAAATACTAAACTTATTTTTACTCCTAAGTAGAACGCATGCTGTAGAAGACTTAGGCAGTCTAAAATGTAGCCACCCTAACTTGGGATTTATGAGATCATTTCCTAAAACACCAGCCTCTCACTTTTTTAATGCAGAAAAGCACTATAGGGGTGAATCCTGTTGTAACTTAAATACATAATAAGTAAAATAACGAGAATTCTCACTATTATATAAATGCCCATAGTACTGTCTATAATGCAATGTGGAAACTGCTTCCTGTTTTACCTTTATGCCTAACAATGACAGCACCCCAAAATTCAGAACTCTTAATGGCTGGAAGGACTCCATTGTACAAGAAACTTGAAACGCTGGTCTGACACAGACTGATGATCAAAATTGCTCTGTGCATGTCCTTATCCTGAAAAAAGGCATGTAATCTATATTCTCATTGAACCCTTAGGAACTATTGAACGAAGCCTCAGAATCCATTCTGCTTCTTTCCTAAGGAGTTTTAAATAGCTCTTAGCCTTTTATTAGAAGAGGCTTCTCCACAGCCCAATCGCAACTGAGCGGAAGGGGCCCATAGCAATGGTTCAGGGTAGGGGGAAACATGCTGTGGGAGGTGGGGCAGGCCAGGTAAGGAAATCTGACACAGGTGGTTAGTGACTGTGCCAAGTGCCAGTCCCTCCTCTAACCTGGGGAATTGGGGTTGTCTGTGGCTGCTGTTGCTGAATGCCAGGTTGGCTCTGAGTAAGACTTCCCTCATCCATGATCTGATTATGGATGGTCTTTCAAACACACTGTTGCTGACCTCTAAGTGGCAATTGCTGACCAAGAGTGACTCCACCGTGAAACCTCTGAGTTATCAAGAATTTCAGGTATACCACCTGAACCCTGAATTGAGACAGGAGATTTCATTTTTACCTGTTACAGTTCTGCTTTGTTTTTTATGTGTTGTGGTGTGTGTGTGTGTGTGTGTGTGTGTGTACACACACACACACACACACACACACACACTCTCTGTGAAGTGCCCTGATATGTTTGGGCTGTATACATTTTAATAAATTATAATAAAAGAATAATTACAGGTGTGCTTCACCACACACACCTTGACCATGTTCAAGTAGAATCTCTGTCCAAGCCTTTGGGACATAGCTGGGCATAAGGCCTTTGCAAGTCACCTGAATACCTTTGGGTAACAGGCCAAGTAAATAAATAATCCATTGGCGGTATTAGATACAGTCATTCTAGTGATGTTTTGATTCATGCTTTAATCGTTTCGTGGTGCATTGCCTTCGTTTGAGGCTGTTAACAACCCTGGGCTCCCTTTTACAGAAGAAGGGCTGGGTATCAATTTGCCAAATTAAAATCTCACTAGGTTGTGGAAAGGAAACTACTCTACACATACCACAATCCCTCCCCTCCCCCCCGCCAGCACCACTCAGAATAGCTCATCCAGGGCTGGCCGGCCCATAAGGCAGTACCCCCATTGATGTCTCACCCACCCCAACTGTCATTGATGAGGTTGCACAATGATGGTGGCTTCTGGTGAGATGTTGCTGGAAGCCATCGCTGTGTGACCCTGGTAATTGAGGCTTTGGTGTGGTAGCAGAGATGCAGCATCTTTCCGTTTTAGCTCAGGTGACCTTTAGATGGAGTTCCCTCAGCCCTCAGCTCTGACATATCTCAGTGGTGGGATTGCAAAGAAGCCAAGTTAGGCTACCCCATTTCACAGAAATTGCCAGGGTGGATTGGCAGCTCATATTTAGGTTTAGGTGTTTCCCCCAACATGTATGAACTTTTAAAAATGAAAGCACCCTGCTGGTCTTACAAACGCTGCCTCCTCAAATTCTCTGCCCTGGGCAATTGTCCCATTTGCACTCCCATAAATACATTTCTGATGTGTGAACATTCTAGAAAGCAGCCAGTCTAGAATAGTAATTAATAGGCAGTATTAAATCTTATCTAAATGAGGAATGGGGAAAAAATCTCAGTCATTAGCCTGGATTTAATCTTCTAAGGAAGACAGCCTTCACACCTGAGCCACTGTCACAGCTTGATATTCTTTCAATTAAATCCATGCTTGTCTAAAGCAATGAGGGTTTGGAGGACAAGATCAGGGTGCACACTAATGAAAGTCCCCACAGAACAAGGACATTTGGCAGGAGCTGTTACAAGAAAGGAGCCACATAATCTGTCTTTCAGAATTCACTCTTAAGCAGCCATTAGACAAGATGCAAGGCACAGTTTGGGTCATGTAAATGAGAAAAGTGTTTAGATCATTTGGTCTGTACACAAAAGAAAATTACCAGCTGTGACTGGGATGACGGCTATGACTCTTCCTGTACAGGGAAAGCTTGGCCATGGTAGTTTGTGCAATGGTTACCTCAGGATTGGATTACAGTCATACCTCGGGTTGAAGTAGCTTCATGTTAAGTATTTTCGGGTTGCGCTCTGCGGCGACCTGAAAGTAACGGAGTGTGTTACTTCCGGGTTTCGCTGCTCGCGCATGCACAGAAGGTCAAAATGATGTCACACACATGTGTGGAAGCGGCAGATCGTGATCCACGCATGCGCAGACGTGCGGCCGTGGGTTGCGTTCGCTTCAGGATGCGAACGGGGCTCTGGAACGGATCCCGTTCGTATCCAGAGGTACCACTGTACTGCAATGGACTCTTCCACTGGCAAGAGCCAGTGTTGTGTAGTGGTTAAGAGAGTTGACTTGTAATCTGGTGAACCGGGTTCGATTCCCCGCTCCTCCACATGCAGCTGCTGGGTGACCTTGGGCTAGTTACACTTCTCTGAAGTCTCTCAGCCTCACTCACCTCACAGAGTGTTTGTTGTGGGGGAGGAAGCGAAAGGAGAATGTTAGCCGCTTTGAGACTCCTTAGGGTAGTGATAAAGCGGGATATCAAATCCAACTCTTCAACTCTTCTTCTTCCTTTGTGCTTGATCTGGAAGCTGCACTGAGTGCAGAATGCTGCAGCGCAGTTGCTGATAGCTTGCAACACCTCTGCTCAAGGACCTGCAGTGGTTGATGATTTGCTATGGGGCCAAGTTCAGGGTGTTACTATTAGTATGTAAAGGAATTTATATAGGAATGTGCTGAAAATGGTCCCCCTTCCTCTTTTTCAAGGTACTGGAGAACCTTTGCTGCTTGTGGAGGGGCTGGCCAAGAGGCAGCATGTTCATTAAAGAAGGAGCCCATCCATTGTCAAAGTAAACAGTGGGAGAGGAATGAGTAGTATTGGGGCTGAGCAGGGAGCTCCCTCCAAACATGAAGCCTGTAATCTCAATTTCAGATTCCAAACTGGTATTGCACATTTATGACAACATGAATTACACAGGTGTGTTAGCATCTATAACTTCTGAAAAATAGACCTAGTTCTTAAACATGCTTATTTTTTATTGCATTATAGAAAAAGACTGGCATGGTCAGTAACCAGGTCGGCTGGTACTCAGTTATTGTTTTTTAAACACACAAGAGAGAGATTGCGAGTGAGTATACGAGCAAGTGAAATCTTCTGATTTGGTCCAAGTCCAATGTAATTTATTATGCGGATATTACAATCTCAGCTAATCCCAGATAATATTTTATGGAGAGATTACGATATACCTGCTAAATTAATCTCCATGAAGATTGCTATTTGAGTGAACAGGGAGGGCACCTGTAGGAAGGAAGCATGAGAGGAACATATGGTCGAGCCTTGACCTTGAATTAAGCATAGCGTTGAAAACAAATTATATAAGGGGCTGACAGACAGCTAAAACCCTGACAGTAAATTTAGCTTCAGAAAAATATTCTTTGATATGTACTGGACAGGTATAAAAATAATACCCACAGTTGGGTATAATACCCACCAACCGTAGGCGAGTTGGTGGACACGGTTTGGGGATAGCAATTATAAAGTTATGCCTGAGAGAATGATGCTATTGGATTATCATTATTATTCTGCCATTTTCAAATTAAAACAAAACAAATTTATTCCTTAAATACTAAACAAATCATCAACAACATTAATGAAACATTTTCTTGAAGATGGTGACAAGTCCTCTAGATTCGAACATCTGATCGAGTTATCTTCCCATAGGTATCTTCCATTACCAATCTATGTTTGCATATACATAAAAAATACCCAAGTTCATCTTCTCCAGCATCCAGTTCTCACAGCACCTAACCAGATGCCTATGAGGAGCCTACAAGCAAGATCCAAAGGCAACAACAGCACTCTCTCTGCTTGTGATTTCCAACAAGTAGTATGCAGAGGTAAACTTCATTAAACATTGGAAGTAGGATGTATCCTTTATGGCTAGTAGCCATTGATAGCCTTATATTTCATGAAATGTCTAATCCTCTTTTAAAGTAACCCAAGTTGATCCCAGTGCCCTGGATTTGTGTCCCAAGTTGTTCATGTGTGAGAAGATTCTCTCCTTATAATATAATGTATCCTTTTTCATTCCCATTCCTTGAACTGAGAAAAATTATCTTCATCCCTAAATACAGGCTGAATTTTTTTTAAAAAATGTATTAATGAAGAATGGTGGGGCCAGTTTTATCTCTCCATGTTTTCCATATCATGAGCATATTCAATACAAAGAGGTTTATAACTGTATTATTTACCTTCATGGGTTAAAAAATTAGCCCCTTACATGAGCCATAATTTTATCGTCTCACTCCATTGAAGTCTGTTCTTATTCCTTTTTGCTATTTAGCAGCGTGTTAATCATCTGATTTAATTGGTGTAATTCATAATATCACTGAAGGTGTGGCATTCATTTCATCTTTGACCTTTCAAGTAAATGAAGTGGACATTGCAAATCATCTAAGTGTTTCTCTGGGGAAGAATGGAATCGGTAATGGAAGGGTTCAATTTCTTTTGAACATGCATGAAGAAATGTGTGATATTCCAAATCAAGGATGGGGGGAAAAGGAAATAATTCATTTTTTTTTTGTCTGCAACAGAATTTCATTTCAGCAGCCTTGATATGTGCTCAATCACTAATAATGGCACCTGGATGTGTGTGTGTGTGTGTGAGTGAGAGAGAGAAATTCATCCTGTTTTGTCAGATTTTGCCTTAGACAGTTCTGACACATCAAACACAGACCAGCTTTGAAGGGATTCCAGATGACCGGAGTCTGTTCCCAAATGCGAAGCACATCATATCAGTAATATGAACATCAAGCAAGGGGGAGGAATTTACACCCAGAAAAGGACTGAATGCCACTGAGAAGTCATTGTGCATTTACCAATCTATTGTTCATACAGTATTTTTATTTTATACTTGGATGGGGAAAGCTAATTGCTCTCTTAACTCCTCCCATTGAATTTTGCAATTTTCCGTTTTAATTATTTGTATAAAGTGATGTTTTCCGCTTATTCACCTAAGGGCTACTGTACTAGAGTGGCTGAGTGATTGGCCTACAAACTAGGAACCCATTTCAAATCTCGTATTTTCTATGAAGTGACTAGTTGGCAATAGCCGACAGCAGGGTGAGGGTGCTCACTTGACCTTTGCCCACACCACTTTAATGGTATCCCTTGTATCATCTACATAGAGGAGACCTCTATCTTTGGAAATATAGAGTAAGTTAAGGAATACCAAAACATCACCTTCATTGGACTACAGCAGTTCAACCGGCGCTATGACAGTTTCATACTCAGAGTAATGATTTGCCTTCCATTTTCAATAGAAATCAGATATACTTCTGTGCACCACACAATTTTCATGCTACTCACATTTTTCTTCTATTGATTTCCAGTGCCAGGATCCTGTTTTATTGGAAGCATCTTCCCCACCAATTGCAAAATGTCAGCTCAGTTTACAAAATATCGCATCCTCTCCATCACTAGATTCTATTCAATTAAATGCCTCACCCCAGCCAGTGTTAAAAGTGCAGAGCTTGCCAGAGAAAAGTAATACAGTACAGGACACAACGTTTGTTGATGCCTTGTGTTTCATCCAAATGAGATAGATTAAGGCAACTGTCACTGTTTGTAACAGCTGACATGCTGGCAGAGTATAGCATTCATGGTTTGCTTGATGCCACACTTACACAGTTGAAATATATCTACATCCCAAAGCTTAAACAAGTTTACTTAGAAATCCCATTGATTTTGTTGATACTTATGCCTAATAAATATGCCGGAGTTTTCAGCATTGCATAGAAAGAAGTTCTATTGATTTCAGTGCAAGGGTAGGGGAAAGCATTTAGTTCAGTGCACACCTTGATGCAACCCTATGCAATTTGCACTAGATGAGATGAAACACCGAAAATGTACACTTTCAAAAAAGTTGTAAAGCTTTGCACAAAAAAAATGTGTATCTCTATTATTTGTTTCATTCCATTCATGAATTACTTACATAACAATCCAAGGCAACAATAAAAGCATCAACATTTAATTTCATATTGAAGAAACAACTTTATTAGTCAGAAATGTTCATAAATGCATATAAGTGAAAATGGCATACAAAAATCCACTTTTAAAGGCAAAGTTGTGTATATAAAAAAAGGTAAAGGACCCCTGGCAGTTAAGTCCAGTCGCAGACGACTCTGGGGTTCCGGCGCTCATCTCGCTTTACAGGCCGAGGGAGCCGGCGTTTGTTCGCAGACAGTTTTTCCGGGTCATGTGGCCAGCATGACTAAGCCGCTTCTGGTGCAATGGAACACTGAAACCAGAGCAGTGCATGGAAACGCCGTTTACCTTCCCGCTGGAGCGGTACCTATTTATCTACTTGCACTTTTTGGGGTGCTTTCAAACTGCTAGGTTGGCAGGAGCTGGGACTGAGCAAAGGTAGCTCACCCCATCATGGGGATTTGAACCACCAACCTTCTGATCAGCAAGCCCAAGAGGCTCAGTGGTTTAGACCACAGCGCCACCCATGTCCCATGTTGTGTAGAAGAATGTGTTTATTCAGAAACATTTGCGCTGAAATTCTGATGAATTTTCAGGAGGACTTTGATTTTTTGCTTTGATTGCAAACTGATGTAGCAAAGTGGCAAACTAAACTGAGGACTGGAAAATGAGATTGAGATAAACTGAAACTGACAGATTCATCCACCCCTCTTTCAGTGGCACTTACTTCCAAGTGAACTTTATGGGTTCCTGGGGCAGTAGTTTCTGGCAGGAAATCTCCAGATGCCTTCCTTGAATTTTTAGCTTGTTTTCGCTTAGTTATTTACAATCATTCTTAACTCCCATTCACAAAAAAAGTCTCTATGGAAGTGTAAAAATGTGAGAATACAACTATCCATACAATACAGTACTAAAACCCACCAAATTATCCTGACAGTATGAAGCAAGGTATGAAGCTGGCTAATGCACAGAGCCTAAAGAGTGTAGAGTAATACAAAATTCCACCTAAAATATGATCTAAGTTGCCTGGGCAAACAGGAAGGTCTTAGAAAGTGATTCTGGTACATGATGAACCTCTATGGCAGGGCTAGCCAATGTGGTACTATCCAGATGTTTTGGACTACAATTTCCATTAACAGCTTTGTCATTGTCATATTGACTGGGACTGATGGGAGCTGTAGTCCACAACACCTGGTTCTCCCTTCTCTACATGGAAGGAAATGAAGAAAACTATAGGAAGTTCCTCCTGCATTTTCTGCATTCAGTGCCAAATTGGGAAATGAAGTTATCACCACAATTTCTCTCAGCCTTCAGTTCCCCTTATCCATTTCATTCCTCCCCCCCCCACTTGCAGCCTTATGTACTACAGAGGATGATGGAAGAGGATGGGTTAAAAGACCAGGTGAAAATGGTTGAGAAATAAGAAGATAGAGGCAATGCAGTCCTATGCATGTTCACTCAGAACTAAGTTTCACTGGGTTCAGTGTGGCCTACACTATAGTAAGTATGCTTAGGGTTGCATGCTCAGGCTAAACTTATGACCTTCCGTACACTGTCCACAATGTAATTTCTCGACACAATGCTAAATGTCAAAGTTAGAGTTCTGTCTGACCCTCAGGTCTGCAGGAACAGAAGATGGTTTTGTAAATGGCATTGTGAATTTCTGCCTACCACCAAGGTCTGTTTCACCAGCCATTGCTTAAATCCAGTGGTGCCTGACATTTCAAGGGAAATATTTTGTTGTTGTTTTCAACAGCAGAATTTTATAGAACCTTCAAAATGCTACCACTGTTCTGACGTTTGTGATAGTGGGATATTGGCATTATGATGTATTGTCACAGATTTTCTTTAATGTTCACATGAGGCCACAATGAGGCATAAGAGAAACTCTGGAACAAGGATGCAGCACCCCTAGGTACTTAGATCTCCATCTCATTTTGATCAGAGTGGATTTGGAATGACAATATGCTCCTCTCAATTCTTTCATGTTGGCAGATTTGAAAGCTTGGATATCAAGCCTCCATCTGAGGATCAGTCTTTAATAGATGGCCACAGTTCTGGTTTGCAGAGAATGCTGTAGCATCAATCTAATTTCACTTTCTGAAGGTTGCATTTCTGAAACCATACCTAATGAATTGTATGATTGGTGTCTCGTCAATTTGGCCCAGGGTAATGGTTTCTGTGGGCTAGTAAACCCACAGCCTTTTTTTGCAAGGCTGAATTTAATTAAACACGACTCTTAATTATCCTGCTTTGCTCTGTACTCTCCATGTCTCTGCAGCCCTAGTCAAATAGCACTCTCATTTAGTTGAGAGTCTGATTAAGAGGAACACTGTAGCTTGCAAAACAGCTGTTCCTACAGAATAATCACATGATGTGAAACACTGAGGTCATTGGCTGGGAGACAGTTGCTTAGCCACTGAGTTGTCTAAGTAACTTACAGGACCCCCATCAACGTTATGCCTCTGTTCTTCAGGTGGAAGAAGGTGGTAAGTATTATACAAATCTACTCCCTAACATTGTGTGAAATTCGGGGGGGGGGGGGGAGACCTCAGTGTACTATTACCAGACTTATGGGCATGCATATACATACACATGACAGTTTAACTGTCAAGCCCTCTTCCTGGGAATTGTGGATCTGTGAGGGGAAGGAAGTAGCATCCTTGCCAAACTACAGATCCCAGGATTCTTTGGAGGGATCCACAGATGTTTAAAGTGGTATAATACTGCTTTAAATATATAGTGGCATATGCAGCCACAGTCTTTCAGAAAAGTTTAAAACCAAACCAAACCCTTCCTGCTGTTTTATTCCTACCAACAGCTTAAAGCCATTGACAAGTTCCGGTTTGGACCCTGTTCTTCAGTCGACTGTCAAAATCCTGGACGTCCCTTTTGGACTTAAATTATTGTGTTATCAGGGGAATTAATTCACTTGGCTAGATTTTTATGGCCATCTTAGATAAACAGCATGTAGTCATTTTGTTTTATTAGCATTGTGATCCATTTTTATAGCCCTGTGCTAGATAATGATGATAGGAAATGAGGGCACCTGAATAAATTTTTTAAGGGTTGCAGTCTCTCAGAGAACTTGCCCTTTTGCGAATGGCTTTATAACTAGTTTGTCACGGCTTGATAGCTTTGCACATGCATTTCCATGGCTCAGAGACTGGAGAGGAACTGTAAATATCTTACTACGAGCTTCTTGACATGTGGTACAGTTAAATAAAACAATATTAATCATGTTAATGTTTTCATTCCGCTGCCCTCTTTAATGCTTATCATGTCTCCAATATCAGTTGTTTCAACAAGTAATTGAATCATCCTTTCTCTTAAGGAAGGATGCATAATTTTCAGTCTGTCTAGGTTGATGGTGGTGGTGATGGCCCTTAGCTTAGATATCTTTTTGGAAAGATTGAACAAATTCATGAACAATGAGTATCTCAACTGCTATTAGCCATAATTGTGAAACAGGGCTATACCTCTGCATGCTTGATGTTTTGGGTCATCCAAAGAAGATGGCCAATGGTACTTGTCCTTTCTTTGAGCTTCCAAAGTACATGGTTGATCACCAGTAGAAAGACAATGTGGACTAAATGGGTCCAAGACAGCACTGTATGCTGGTCATGGAGAAGGGGCTCTTCTGAACATCCATGTTCAATAAAACAATAAAATGTGGTCATTTCTGAATTTCTAAATGGCAGTTGGCTATAGGCTTCAGAGGTTAACAGCAATGCTTTCCTCAAGACTTAGCTGGTGCAGAATGCAGCCACTGGGGTATTGATTTATAGATATGACATCAATTTTGGAAAAAAAATCCCACTAGTCTGTTCACCTCCAACCCCAGTTCACATTGCTGGTACTTACCTTTAAAGCCTCAAAGAAGCTTAGGACTCAGCTGTTGAGATTGGGATAGATTAGGAAGGATGGGAAAGAACTGAGAGAAAACAAACAAGTATAAAGTCTGGGTTAAGGACACACACAAGAGACAAGCTGAAACAAACTCTTTGTATGGTTCAGAGAACAAGCCAAAGAGTGACAAAAAGGCACTGGGAAAAAGGTTTTATAAAATCAACATCTCTCCTCCAAAACATTGTGAGTGGAAAGTGCTGGGTGAGATTCTAGCCAAGAAGTGGAAGGCAGACCTATCATTGAACTGTCAACTTCCCTCCTCCGTTCCCCTATCCCCACTCTGGCATTTTCTTTATATGATATTACCTCATAGTTCTAAAATTTTTAGAGTACTTTAACCACCAATTCCTCTTCCTGGTTAAATCTTAAACTGTAGCTGTTTCAGGGGAACAGGAGCATTCCTAGCAACTCTCAGACCCTTTATAAACTACAGTGCCATATTTCAAAAAGTAAGAACCAAAGTTGTTGAGTTGTTTTTTTTTTTAAAGAAAGGGCCAAAAAACCTGTGATTTTTCGATTGACTTGCCTAAGATTCAGGACAAAGTGCCACATTTCAGAAATTCCCCCCGAATGTCAATTCCACATTTGAAATCCCTGTAATGTCTGGGAAAATTTGTACATATGGCAGTCCTAGTTACCAGTTTCCAGCAACTGGTATCCAGAAGCACACTGCATCTTATACTGGGAGTAGATATACCACTATATCTATTTTGCTGAAATAGCAGCTTTGTCCTCTTCTAGAACTCCACTAATTTTAGTGGGAGTCTCTTAGCACTGAGAACCTCTGGCTAGCTTCCTTAGAAAAGAAAATCTCATTTGAAAATAATGCATCATAAACTCTTCTTTTTGACAGGAAGATTCGCCCTATCATTTCTAGATGCATCAAAATAAGATCAGATATTAGCTTCCCAGCTTTGCAGCCATAAAGGTTTTGAGGGAGAGGAAATCACAATCTTTCCCTCTGATCAGAGGGAAACATAATTCTTTGCAAAGGACACAAGAATCAATTACTGTAATTTTGCTTCCTGACCAGATGGAAAGAGCTGGCAGGATAAAGGGGATAGAACTAAGGGCAAGAAAGAAATACAATAAACTACGGAAAGAAGATTGTGTTATACATGATTTCCCAATTAAAATATAATGTGGATATTTAATAAAGTTAAGCATTTTAAAATTTTGTATTCAAATGTCAACAACAGGTTAAATTTTCCTTTGCACGCACACACACAGCAGGTGGAATCCAGCAAAAAAATAGTCATGAAAAAATGAATTGTAATGATATAGTTGAATGTGTCTGGATTTCAGTGGAGTTTAGTTATATGAATAACAGCACAATCCTCCTTATCTCTTATTCAGCAATACTTCCCATTGAGTTCAGTGGGTTATAAGATTGCAGTCTTAGGCTTATCATTCACCTAGAAGTTAACTCCACTGAACACAGTGGGTCTTACTTTGAGCAGACAGGTACAGGTTTGTGCTTGTCTTAAAGAGACAGATATTTATATTGATCAAAGAGATTTTGGCAGCGTGTTGAAGCAGTACAATACCTGGTTATGGGAGATGATAGTAGAATAAATATTACTTTAAACTCTCTGAAAAGACTGAATCTAGCCAGTGATCACCACAGAATTCAACATAATCATAATCATAATATTCAATTGGCTTAGCACAGATGAGTTTTGTCACTGTATGACTATAATAAATTGAGAGAACAGTCTATTGTCTTATTTGAAAGTTGAATGGAAGAACATCTGAGATGGTAATGCTCTTGTCTTATTTGAAAGTTGAATGGAAGAACATCTGAGATGGTAAAGTCACGTAAGCCGTAACATGCTGGCCCTTTGGTTCATATGTGCATAAAAGTCATTTGATTGCTTACAAAACACCAGGGGTGGTAGTCAACCAAGTTTTACTCAGACAAGATCCATTGATTCCAGTAGGTTTAATCTGAGTATAACTTACCTGACAATCACCCTAGATCAGGGGTGTCAAACTCAAATTCATCGGGGGCCGCGGCGCCGCTAGAGGGCAGACGTTCTCTGGCTTGTAGGCTGCCGCGTATGCGCTGAAGAGGCGGCTTTCTTGTGTCAAAAAAAGAAAGAAAGCGAGAATAAAAAGTGAAGGCTGGCGGCTGGCGGCCGGCAGCAGCTACACAGGCCACATGATGAGGTCTGGCGGGCCGGATTCGGCCCGCGGACCTTGTGTTTGACACCCGTGCCCTAGATTCACAACTGAATGTGTGAATAAACTCTTTTTAAAAGTACCATATTTGAGAGGTAAAAATTTATCTTGGCAGAGATGAGCAGGTGGCTGAACTGTGACAGTTCATACATACATACCTGACACCACCTGATGTTTCATGTGAACCAGTCCTTAGAAATGGCATTCAGAAATCATTTCAAAAAGTCAGCATTCAGACCTTTTAATTGTGGTCTTAGCTCTTCTTAGTGGACATTTTCTTTTTTCTTTTAGTATCCACCTAAACTGCAATAATGTACAGAATAACCCACTGGGGATTGCTTTTCTTTTTTTTAGCCTAAAATGTCAATAACACTTGTTTGCATTATGCATTTTAGATGGATATTTCCCCACGCAGTGTATATATCTTATAGGTATAATGAGCATCTTATTGTTTTGTCAGCCGTCAAATACAAAGCTAAAATGGAAATGCAGCTGACAAAAATGATATATTTGCATTATTAGCAATTCTGTTCTTGTTTCTTAGTGCATGTTCATCTGGCAAGGATGCTGCTGGTTACATCATTTGATTTCAACCAGGAAGGTCCTAACAGATGTATATACGTGTGTGTGAGACAGAGAGAGAGAGAGAGAGAGAGAGAGAGAACACACACGGCCCAATTGTGTTAATTTATGGCTTAAGATCATGACATTCTCTGGCACAAATATAGAAGAAAACTTTGCTCTGAATTCAAAAACAAACACAGTCTACCTCATCACATTCTTCCATTTCTCTGGAATGGTCCCAGTCAAACTGAATCTGCAGAAACCCCCAGAAAATTCAAGATTCAGAGAATATTCTATTCCCCCTGATTAAATAATAATAAAAAGTCATATAGCTGCCAAAGTAATAAAATCAGTACACTGTACATTATATCCTTTGAACTGGGAAATCATTTGTGTGACTGGTGACTGGTGACAAATAGTGCAGACATTTATTGACCCAACATTTATTGACTCAACATTCATTGTTGAGACAGGTGTTAAAATTTATGCACAGGAATCCTGATTCCAGACCAGTAGCAGATGGTATGGTGGGAATGTGCCACTCACTTGTTCTCCCTCCAGTTGTGTTGTCACTGTGTTTTGGGAAGGAGAGGAAAGGGGAGAGGTGGCAGTGAGAATTGCATGGTGCATCAGCGGATCCAATTTGGCATTCCTGCCAGAGTGCTTGCACTGTGCCCACCTCACCATAATACTAACTAAAAGCTGGTGCTCAAGTCACGGTGGGCTTTACCGTGGATATTTTAATTATGTTTTCATAGAATCATAGAATTGTGGAATTGGAAGGGACCCTGAGCACCATCTAGCCCAGGGGTCAGCAACCTAAGGCCCATGGGCCACAAGCAGGCCATTTAGGGCCACCAGCCCATGAGCTGCCCCCGAACCGAGCCGTCCACTCGATGAGTCCTTGCATGCTGCACTAAACCACTCACTTCCATAGCACTGGAAATTGTGTCTGGGCATGCGCAGACGCAAAAAATCACATCTGCGCCGATGCCAGAAATCGTGTCTGTGCAGATGCCGGAAATCACAGGTGCGCATGCACGCTCTGGCCCATGGAGGGATCTCCGCTGGAGTGAACCGGCTCAGGCGAGGTAAACCTTGCCGACCCCTGATCTAGTCCAACCCCTTGCAAGGCAGGAATATGCAATTGCAATTACTTTGTTTTTTAGTTTCTCAAAACTCTGCAATTTCAGTCTATCTCCCTCTTGTTCCAAAATTTCCCAATATTTCAGCCACTTGGCCTCCATACTGAGCTTTTTCTGTGCTTTTGCTTCCATTGGTGACAACCACCTTGGGGTTTTGTTTTCCAATAAATCCTTATATCTTATCCAGACATTAAACAATGCTTTCCTGACAATATGATTCTTAAATGCTTTATGTGCTTTGACCTTATCATACCACAGATATGCATGCCATCCAAATAAATTGTTAAAACCTTCTAGATCCAAAATGTCTGTATTTTCAAGAAGCAGCCATTCTTTCAACCAGCAAAAAGTTGCTGATTCATAGTAAAGTTTAAAGTCTGGCAGGGCAAATCCACCCCTTTCCTTTGCATCAGTTAATATCTTAAATTTTATTCTGGGCTTCTTGCCCTGCCAGACAAATCTAGAAATATCTCTCTGCCACTTCTTGAAGCAGTCCATTTTGTCCACAATTTGCAATGTTTGAAGCAAAAACAACATTCTAGGCAATACATTCATTTTTATCGCAGCAATACGACCCAGCAGTGAAAGCTTCAAGTTTGACCAAATTTCTAAATCTTTTTTCACTTCGGCCCAGCATTTTTCATAGTTGTCTTTAAATAAATTCCCATTTTTTGCTGTCATATTAATCCCCAGGTATTTCACTTTCTTAACCACTGTCAAACCTGTCTCATTCTGAAACCTCTCTCTCTCAATCGGTGTTAAATTTTTCTCTAAAACCTTGGTTTTTAACTTATTCAGTTTAAATCCTGCAGCCTGACCAAATTCTTGAATCAGTTCTAAAACCCTTTTGGTACTAGATTCTGGCTCCTGTAACGTCAATACTAAGTCATCTGCAAATGCTCTCAATTTGTACTGTTTAGCTCCGACTTGTATACCTTTAACCAACTGGTCCCTTCTAATCATATTCAGTAAAACCTCCAGGACCGATATAAAAAGCAATGGGGAAATTGGGCAACCTTGTCGTGTCCCTTTTCTATCTTAAATTCTTCCGTCACCACATTATTTACAATTAGTTTAGCCTTTTGTTCTGAATAAATTGCACTTATACCGTTTTCAAAGCCTTGGCCTACCCCCATCCCCTGTAGGTTCTTCTTCATAAAACTCCAAGAGATATTATCAAAAGCTTTCTCCGCGTCCACAAATATCAAAACTGCTTTAGTGTTTATGTTCACTTCTAGCTTTTCCAGAATATCAATTATATTCCTCAAATTGTCAGACAAGTGTCTTCCCGGGAGAAAGCCCGCTTGGTCTTTATGAATCTTTTCCATCAACACTTTTTTCAATCTCTTGGCCAAAATGTCTGCAAAAATTTTGTAATCCACATTAAGTAATGATATGGGGCGGTAGTTCTTAAGCTGAGTCTTTTCAGTCTCTGTTTTATTATCAGATAATGGAGGCATATAATTTGGACAAGAAAATTGGTTTCCAGGTGGAAAAATCAAAATTAGAAACAGAACTGTTAGAACCCAAAACTAAGATTTTGTCAAAGATGTATAACTTGCTGTTGAAATGGAATACTCAGGATGAAACGGTGAAATCTGCTATGATTAAATGGGCACAAGATGTTGGACATAACATAATGATGGCTGACTGGGAACAGTTATGGACCACAGGTATGAAGTTTACGGCATGCAATGCCTTAAGAGAGAATATTATGAAAATGGTATACAGGTGGTACATGACCCCAGTCAAGCTTGCAAAAATCTATCATTTGCCCGATAATAAATGTTGGAAATGTAAAGAAACTGAAGGTACATTCTTTCACCTTTGGTGGATGTGCCCAAGGATTAAGGCTTTCTGGGAGATGATCTATAATGAATTGAAAAAGGTATTTAAATATACCTTTTTGAAGAAACCAGAGGCCTTTCTCCTGGGCATAGTCGGCCAATTGGTGCCAAAGAAGGACCGACCCTTTTGTATGTATGCCACAACAGCAGCAAGAATACTCATTGCAAAGTATTGGAAGACACAAGATCTACCCACTCTGGAAGAATGGCAGATGAAGGTGATGGACTATATGGAACTGGCGGAAATGACTGGCAGAATCCGAGACCAGGGAGAAGAGTCAGTGGAAGAAGATTGGAAGAAATGTAAAGACTATTTACAGAAATATTGTAAAATTAATGAATGTTAGAATGATGTTGGATAGAAATTAAGTGGTTTTCAGCTGTAATACTATAAGGGAATATGAAAAATGGATTACTAACAGGTAAAAATTTAACGCTACAATATTTTAAGATTAAAGACTAGGATAAACAAAGAGGGCAAGGATTTGCTGAACCAACAAACCGAACTGGAATACAAAAAAGGGAGGCGTGAGGAGGTCCGGGAAACAAGCTAATGAAAAATAAGTAATGGAAAGATTGAGTTGTTTTTAACCTTTTTTATTTTGTATTTTCTTCTTTTTTATTTTTATTTTGTAATATTTTGAAAATCTTAATAAATATCTCTCATATATATATATATATATATATATATATATATATATATAAATAGAATATGCAATTGCCTTAGATAGCGATCGTACCTGCAACCTTGGCATTATCAGCGCCACGCTCTAACCAGCTGAGCTGTAAGGAAAGTTCTGCCAGTAAAGTTGAAATAACATTTCTATGGGACTGGACAATGTTTCATTTCCATGGGAGCCAGTTCTTATGCTTCCAGTCGCTGCAAATTGCACAATATTTAATATCTGCAACACAGTGGGAGGTGGGGCCAAAGGCAAAAAAATGTGAATGTGTCTCTTACTTTGGTATGCTAGGCTACATTCCAGCTATGCAAAAGCCAGGGGCTTCTGTACACCTATGTACACCCTCTCTATCCCCACCCAGGCAAACGAGATGCATTATCACAGATCAAGGGTGCAAGCCAGCCAGGCAAAAAGCATTTGAGGGGGATGTGGGGCAAGGCCAGTGAGGAGTGTGACTTGGGGAAAGTGTGAGGTCCTGAGGGCCCGGAAGCCACAGGCCTGAGGCTCCTTGACCCTGATAGACACCCATCTAATCATTTTAAATAGCATTAATCAGTATTTCTGTAAACATTATCAAATATAAAAAGTCACAGTTGCATTGGCCACTTGGATAAATTGGGCTGCGATTCATTTGTGAGTGTAAAAGTCATTCCCCTCCCATTACACATTATGCTCTTGTGTTCACATCCTTTTATGTGTTAAATGAAAAGGTCGCCTTCCCCATTATCTGGCAATTACTCTTTTCAGTGTGAAAATTCATTACCTGCTTAAGAACTCCTTTGACTGTCACATATTTCAGTTGAAATGCAAGCGTTTCCCTCTTTCACTGTGGAACAGCACTCTGACTGTGACATGCTAGCCAGCTTAAAGGGTGAAACAAAGAGGCGAAACATGGAGTATAAATAGTGCGGCTTTGATCTCTCGTGGATGCAGATATTGTGCTGAAATCACCAAGGGTCACTTTGAAACAGCATGACTTCTTAGGCAGAAGCTCAGCTGTTCTGGGGGAATACTGAGAAGACTGCAACTTTTATGTGATCCTTAAATATACTGAATACAATCTACAATATCAGCCTGGAGAGGGCATAAGGTATACCGGGTATCATTCAGAAGATGAGCTAGAGAGGCATGAAGGTCCTATCTCAACAATAATGGTTGTTCAAAGATATAACGCTTCCAAAATCCTCATAAAGGCATGATGACATCACATAGTCTTTCCACACACATATATAGTTATATTTATATTTATATTTATTGATTTGGGGTTTTCTTTTTCCCTCAGGATTTTCTAAATGCAATACATAAATTCAAAGATTTCTGTGCTTAAAATACTGCAGTTTTGTGTGTTTCCTCCAATAAGTTGACCAGGAGGAAACGCTCAAGCAATAATATTGATGTAGCATAGACTGTCCCTATTTTCATCTGAGGAATGTTGGAGGGTATGCAATACTCAGAGATGAAACAGTCCAGAAACATTGGGAGAGCCATTGCTCTATGCCTTTTATCCCTTGTATGAGTTAAAATATCCCTACTTTCTGAAGCGAGGTTGCAAAGTTGCAAGAAAAAATAGTGTCTTTTTGGTGGTTACCATTATGTAGAAATTGCTCCCCTAAAAAATTGGTAGTTCTCTGCCACTTGTTTAATAATAGAAAACACACATTTGCTTGCTGCAAATTTGGTGAAGCGACCTGTGTATACAATTCCATCAGTCTCAGCCTTCAAGAAGAACTTACCCTGCCAGTTACTTTTAGTAATTGTGCCAAACTATTGATCCCCACCCACCCTTGAAGCAGTAATGATACAAATGAAGGTGTCAAAAATCACCGCCCAATAAATCATGCTTCAAAACATTATAACACGTTGCGTTACTGATTACTCACCAAGTGACAATATTGCTCCTTCACAGAGACAAATGGGTTGCAACAAACTTGGCCTTGTGTCAGGAAACAGTTTATTCATGTTTGCACATTGTCAACACAATTCAGAAATTGCAACTCTGCAGGACGCACAGTATTCAAGATTTCTCACAGTACTTTTTCTTTTATTTTCATTTAGCAGGGCTAATGTTCCAGATGACACCTTTTGAGCCTGGGTAGCTGTGGCCAAATAACTGTTAATGCAGTGATTATTGCCGTGCCCTTGACTTGCATTGTTAGCCCCTTTTATGTGTTCAGGAGAGCAAATCTGGGCCAAAGGGTGGTAGGGGTGGGTGTAGGCATGCCAGGCCTACTTTCAAAGTCCCCATTCCTACATTCTCTACCCTTTAGCTTCCCCTGTTCGTCTGGACACGTTTAGAAGCCTGCCTGCAACTGTGAATCATGCATCATCATGGTTCCTGATCACAAAGAAAGCTTCCGACTGCATGCTTAGAAGACCCATGCTGACCTTTCTGCTCAGTGTGGGAACCTATTGGATGGATCAGGAACACCTTGCATGCCAGGGACATTGGTCGCAGAGCCACTGCACATGCGCCTTCTCCCTCTGAACACTTTATGCCCATGTACTTTCTTGTACAGAACTCTTGGAAATGTGGAAACAGTCAGGAGCTTAGCCTACACTCGAGTAGGACCCTGGTAGAGACACATGCCCGACTGGCATGTTCTCTCCCTCCTGGTCGATCGTTTGGGAGCTTCAAAAGCTTTCTTCTGCCCGAACATCACAGCGACTGATGCCAACCAATACTGGCACACTTAGGGATCCGCAGAGTTTGCACATCATGCGTAACAGACCTCAGCAACTCAGCATTTTGGCTAATCTACTTTATTTACATATAAACACACACGGAGCACTGCAACATGGCTCCCTCTCTCTCTAGCATCAGACAGCAAAGAGAAAAAACAAACAAACAAAGGACAGTAGTCCCACTTCACGAAAGATAGTAACACAAACATCCTGTCTCCGTCACTTCCCACTCTGTGGAGTCAAAACATATACCATCATGTGATAGACAAAAATCCCATGACTGCAATCATGGAGCAGGAATTCTAACAGAAACTAGGGAAGTCCAAGTATTGATGGTTGAATCTCAAGTAAAAAAAGGGTTGGCCAGCTCATGATTTCTTTGCATTTGAGAACCTTCTATGAATTTTTGTTGAGTTGAGCCCTGACCTCTTTGTAGTTTGGGCCTGGTTTGACATGGGGTCGTTCTGATGCCTTGCCATGAGCCCTAACCTCCAGTACTACCACATAGCTCAGATGTAAAGCTTTCTTAAGAGTAATTGGTGGGGGGAGGTATGGAAAGATGATTTATCTCTCCCTAACTGAAAATGTTCTACTGCTGGTAGCAGCAGTTCCAAGGGCTGACAGTACACCCATGCAAGTCTGTTGTGACTTTTGTCACTGTGGGTGTAATGGGACCCAACCTTCCAAAAGAGGTGAAGCTAAAAAAAATAATTCTGATTCATTTTGAAACAATGCAAACTCCTTGTTCTTCACTAACCCTTAGAAATGCTGCCTCCAGGATGGATCCCAGGAAGATGCTCCTCCCATTCAAGGAGAACCACAACTTTCAAGGAACCCCAAATGTCTGAGATTGAGGATAACATTTTAAGTAAGGTGACTAGCTGGTGGTTTTCAAATTGTGACCGTTTCTAAAAAGAGTAAGGTGGGAATTAGAAAAATAATACAAGAACAAATTGACAGTAAGATATTTAGGAATTTGACATACCACTATCTTTGCTGGCATCCAAAAATTAGTTATGAATCATTGTATAAAAAATACTCCTCTTTAATAGAACAGTGTAAATGACTATATAAATATCATTTTCTCTTTGTGTGGGATACCAGCAGTCAGAATTCTTTAATGCTAAAGCTACATTTACTTTTTTGATCCTTTTCCTATTATGTTGACAGAAGAGCAAATTAAAAACGGCAAAATTATTGTCAAACCTTATTTAGAAAGATAGAAGCACACAAATTAAGTTGATATAAGTTCAGGATGGATAAAAAAGGGGAAGGATAACTTCCCCTTCTGTCAAAATATACTTCTATGCATATTACATTAATTGGAGTTTGGGCTGGATTAATTAAGTGGATTAATTAATTAGATGATTGATTGGATTCAAGTTCCACAATCACAACTATGCCATTCTGAAGAGGCACTTATTGACATTGCAGTACAAGCAATACTCTGGTTCAACAACAGTTTATGTTTAAAACAAAGGTTGGGTTTTTTTAATGTCCTAAAAGCAAATATTCTTTGAAAATTGGACAGTGTAAGATACAACTAACACATACAGATACATATATATATGAATGATGAGATCATATTTTTGAAGAACAACTGATAATTTCTTTCTTTTTTCTTTTGAAATGTCACTAAGTGGGTTTAGCAATGTGTGAAAGAAGTTTCGGACCAATTATTTCCTTCATTTATTTTTTTAAAACACTATTTATTAAATTTTCCACTTGAACAATCCAATCAAACCATATTAAATATTCCAAATTATACATATTATTCAATAATCAAACAGTCCAAATATTATGCCAAATTATATAAAAAATTGGGAGGTATCTTCCCATGTTCTGAAATTGGGGGGCTCTGATCATCTCATACTTCTACTGCTTTCATAATTTTCACGATAGTTCCCATACATCATTCCGATGTTAATCCTCATTACTTTTCCCAGCCTCTGAGTTTATCAAACAAGCGAGATAAAACAAAACAATATATTCTGTGTGGAATTTACATCCAGTGTTCCCTCTGTATGTTCACAATATCTCTTCACAAAATGATGTTTCTGCCAAGCCAGTCCAAAAATCTTCTCACCTTGGGCAGCAGCCAAGTCAGTCCAGATAAAATCAAATCAAGGCATCTGCCCAATGCTTTTAAGACCAGCTGTCCTTCAAATGGTTAACCTGTCCAGGGAAGGTTTTGCAGTATAAAACTGGGAATGCAAATATTAAATAAGATATTAAATGGCACCTATCCCCCTAAGGCCCCACATTTAATTCTACAAGCTGATCTACTTCCGGTCATTGCCGCTCAGTTAATTGGAGCTGTGTCATTCCGATTCTAATTCCAGGCAAACTTCCAAAGTTTTTTTTGCGTCTCTCCAGTCATTCTCCAAATCAAGGTTGGGAAACTCTTTATCCTCTTCCAAATATATCT